AGAGAAGTACTAGAAGCGGTGGTCACGAGAATACTTAACCAGTCTCAGAGAATACCACAAAATACACCACGGAGGGTGCAACGAAATAACGGTTAGAGACATTGTATTGGTGAAGGATGAAAACTTAACGAGAAACAAATGGAAGCTCGGGAAGGTTCTTCACATAATCTGCGGTAGAGATGGCATTGAAAGGGGTGTTACGTTGAAGACTACCACAAGAGGCAGAACGTACGAAATAGATCGACCTGTTCAGAACTTGTATCCTTTGGAACTTAGAGCAGATTCGGATGAGAAGAGGGTTCAAGAAACGCGGGAAACGGGAGAAGTAGCCGACGCAAGGCCAAAACGGAAAGCATGCGAAGAGTGTGATCAAAGCGACTCAGATGCTGGAAGAAGAAAATCAAACCTAACTTTGATTTGGGGGTGGTGTATCGTGAATTGGTAATTGGCTACTGATAGAGTTGAATGACTTTGAATGAAGAAAGTATATTAATCGCATTTTTCCTCTTTTGTGTTTGGATTTATTTTTATCTATTAGGCAACCTGATTACGTCTAGGGTATTTTAGAATCATCTGGTTGTTTGTATTTGTTTTTATGGTATTTAGTACGTAGATAATAAATATTTAGCTGGAGGCGTGTGTGTAACCTAGCGGCATAGGGCCAACAGCGCCATATGATGTAATCCTTAGTGATGTAATGTAGCTAAATTAATCCTTTATATCGCTATATATTCAGTAGGAATTCGTTTCAGACTTCATTCGGTCGAGAGACACCATAGGCTCTATTTTAGATGCTACCTATGCTAGGGTAAAATCTACATGTGAGTAAAATCTATGTCACTCTAGACTATGATATCTATACAGATTTACCTAATACAGTCCTCTTAAGTTAATCAATTGTTTTTTCTAACGAGTTTTAATCTAACGGGTAGTCAGAAGTTAGGCTGGCTAAGCGATTTCTGACACAAACAAACAAAAGCTTCCAGGTTTGCTCTTCTTGAATTGATTCGTTTTTCCGCTGGATACTTTATTGATTAAAACATAAAATATCTCTCAAATCCAATGATCTGACGCTGTCAAAGCTGGGTCATCCTTGATCTGCTCCATCATCCTGCGATTCGAATTCTCGTTGATTTCCACGCTACTTCTACAGGGTCAAAGTCTTTGCAATCTTCAATGGCTCTTCCCGTAGCTTATCAAGCTGAGCAATGGCACTATCAATCATGTTGACTGCCTGGCCAAAATCTATATCAATACTTTGAAGATATCGGCTTAATGGACCAGTAACAGAAAATATCTCTCTAAAAAGGTAGGCTGTAGCAACTAACTGCTTTGACTGGAAACATTCCAATAGCCCTGCAAAAGTGCACCGTTGATTTCCTTCAAATGAGGAGTCAGTTGAAACTTTATGCATTTATAATGCTTTTAGACTGTACTCCCGGGAACTCCATCTAACAGTGTTGATTCGCTTCAAGGAAATCACTTTCAATTTCATCTCTTTCTGAATAGCTTCATAAAGGTCGTTGATCTTCTGTGATATTCGGAACAAGTTGTAAAGCTTTTCGAGGTTATCAAAAAAATTGATTACTTCGACAGATGCTCCAGCAGAATCAGAATAATAATAATACGCCTAGAGCCCGACACGGGCAATACACTAGAAATACTAAATCAAAAAACAAATTTTATTTTAACCTAAATTTCCACTTATAATTTTCTTTCGAGCTCGGTGCTCTTTTCGTCTTTCATAGATCGCAATTCGATTTGCATTCACATTTTGACAGACATTTGCAATGGTTCGTCTCCATAGTTGACGATCAACAACCAGTTCTTGCCATTGGCCTAAGATTCTTCCAGATTTAAGAACGCTTTTGCACGTATCTTTATATCGTAGTTTCGGTCGACCAACAGAACAAGTGCCTTTGTCGAGCTGACCATACATAAGAGCTTTAACGGGACGATTGTCGTTCATTCTTGACACATGACCAAGCCAACGTAGACGATTTTTAATGAGTGTTATTTCTATATCGTCAACATCTGCTCGACGTAGTACTTCTTCATTGCTTACAAAGTCACTCCATTTTATTCGGAGAATCTTCCTCAAATGCCGTTGCTGGACTGTGCGAAGCTGATTGATGTGGTGTCGATACAGTGTCCAGGTTTCAGAACCATACGTGAGAAGTGGTGCTAAACACTGAGCATACACTTTCAGTTTTGTCGATATTGTAAGGTCATGTGAGTCGAATACACGTTCACGGAGCCTGCCATACGCAGAAGACAAAGCTTGTATACATGTGATGAGCTCGGTGTTCATTGAACAATCGTTAGTAACAATGCTTCCAAGGTATTTGAAACGATTCAAACTTTTGATTGGTGTACCGTCAATGAAAAACTCCTCTTCCGGACCAATGGACATTGTCTCGGTTTTCTTTATATTGATCGAAAGCCCCATTCGTTTAGCCATGTTATTATAGGCGTTTAATAGAACCTGTAGTCCCAGTGCCGAGTCACTGAAGATTGCAATATCGTCAGCATATTGTGCTTCTCTGATGAAATCGATAAAGGTTTTCGTTTTGGCTTTCAATCTACTCAAATCGAAGAGATCACCGTCATACTGAAATCTGATTTTTACGCTGAATTGATGACCAATGGTTGCATAAGCGAGCAAGAGAAGTACAGCAGTGTAGATGCCATACAAGATGGGCGCTAGCTTGCACCCTTGCTTTACACCACTATTGTATTCAAACGGTTCTGTTAGGACACCATCTACAATTAGACGAGCATTAACTTCGGAATAGAGGCTTTGAATAAGTCTGATGAATTCTGGAGGACAGCCGAGCTTTCCCAAGATTTGAAACAAAAAGTCTCTGTTGACGGTATCAAACGCCTTGGTAAAGTCGACAAAAACAATATACATATTTTGTCGTTGCTCTCTGGCTTTTTCCATCAGTTGTTTCAGAGTAAAGATTCCGTCGATGGTACTTCTGTTCTCACGGTAGCCGGATTGGGACTGGGGATACACTTTGTCAGCTATACGTTTAAGCCTTTGCAGGAGAATGTCAGCAAACAACTTTCCTACAACACTTAGGAGGGAAATGCCACGGTAGTTT